TGCAATAGCTGTTGAATTATCAACAACTTCAAAGTTAAGGTAAGAGAGAAATATTATTTTCTGTACTGTACTGCCATTTTGTGCCTACTTCTTAGTGTCTCTTAAACTGTAATTTTTCAGGAGAAACCGTATACCAACAAACTAAAGATTTTAAAAGTCACAATAAGTAGTGGGCTAAAGCACAATTTCACCAGATTTCTATTTCAAAATGGCATAAGGCAGCAAAACAGACCTTTTTTCAGCTTGCATATCATTAATCGATTTGAAACAGAACATACACTTTGAAATGATGGATATATTGTTTCAGGTTTGTATAAATAAGGTAGATATACTTCTAGTGATTATTGTCTCTCTCTCTTTTTATATATAAATTTCCTTACATATAATGAATATCCAAAAGGATATGACAGATGATCAGATCATTATAAAAATGACTTCACCACTTCTTAGTGCTTTTTCCAAATTTTAAAACCCAGAATTAGCATGTCAATAATTGTTACTTTTCAATTCTTTCACATATCAGAACACTCTTCAGAATACTAATTAAAATACAACACTAAAAGTTAGACGAGTTTCATTCAATTAGTAGAAAAATTTTAATTTCTTACGACTACTAGCAGTTAACAACATGGCCAATGCAGATACAAGAACAGGTGAAAGCCAGATAGTCTCTCTTCGCATGGGAGTGAGACGATTGGAAGTCATCCAATTCATGTGAAAATCTGGTTACATAACATCAAGGGTGAAGTGCAGAGTCACCCACTTATTTGGTTCTTTTTGTTTGGCACTATTTACAAGAGTAAAAAGAATTGGATTTTTGTCAATTTTCCTTGACTTTTTAAGTGAAAATAGGTTGGGTTGATCTTTACATTATGGTAATTTGGCGCTTTTTTGGCGAAAATTTGGCGACCAACTCTCCTACAGCAACCCTCTATTTTTTTTTCCCGCCGCCATTTTGTCTTCACGAAGTAAAGACATGTTTCTTTTCTTTTTATCTACTGAACACTTCTTCCAACAATCTACTAGCCGAATTACACTTATGCTAGAAATTTTATCTAACAAAACTGCTTAATCATGACAAATATTCACTGCAAAATTGGGAAAAAGTGCACAATACCATACTCCTTACGCGTTTTTCAAAATAACACATACACATAAACCATGTACACGCCGACTTATTTTTACTTAAAAAAAATCCCAGAATTGCACAAAAATGGCATTGCGCACACTCTTCACTATATCCATGTACACTGCTTTTTTCTCATAAATTAGAAAAATTTCACGAAAATACATGACAATTTTCTCAATCTTTAAACCCGGTAAAAAGAACATATATGAAATTACCTGATCGCGAAAAAGTATTTACCCTTTCCAAATATGAACATTTCCACATATAAAATAAATAAAATATCCAAAAACTTTACCTCTAAATCATCTATTACATTATACACGTCACCAACGAATTCATACCGCAAGCATTACAAATACTTAGTATCAAATATTTAAATTATTTCCATGCACGTTTACTTCAACTTAAACGTATACCAAATTCCTACAAACATAAAATTCACAAAATAACTATCATTTAATTAAAATATAATTAAATTCAAAAACACTACTTAAAATATAAATGAGCACATACATTAAATTAATACATACATAAATACCCATTTCGAATTCACTTTAGTTACGGCCATGGGATCCAAAAATTCACGAACACTGTTTCACACACACACACAGAATAAAGCCAAATACAAAATTTCCAGATTTTTTCCCGATTTCCCCCCTTTTCCGATTAAAGAACCGTAATTCGTCCATTAATATCACATGACATATCCCATGATCTCTCATTTCCCTCACACAAAATAATGCGTAATCGGAACTGAGTACTGCTCACATTATTACCAAAGTCCCAGGTAGTAACCTTTATCGCCTCCAAAATGTCGCCAAACTACCAGTTACCATATTGTAAAGATCAACCATAGGGGTTGATCTGTACATGGACAAAGTCAAGGGAGTGTGCAATGCAGAGTTTGTGCAATTCTCTGATTTTTTTTTTAAGTGAAAATAAGTCAATGTGTACATGAATACTAAGTTTGTGCAATTCTTAAAAACGTGCCAAGCAGGCGGGTGATTCTGCACTTTCCCCAATATCAATAGTTACATTTTCCAACTTTACAGAAAAATCCCCAATGGAAAATTAATATTAAAATTTTAGTCTCACAGATTTCAAATTTTTAACTCGCATGCACAATAATGGGTTAGAGTAGACTTTAAGGTACTCCTCGTATTATGGCGAAGTTGTTGTTTCACTTATCGCAAAGTTGTTTTTTTCATTTATAGCCTGAGTAGTTGAATGTTATGGAAACCCTATTGTGACGTAATCAGGTGTATGATTCTGGGAAATTTTGAATCATGGGATGTTTTGTAAGAGCTTTTGTGGTATGTGTTGGTTTTATTGTTTAGATGGTAGAATGGCTGACCGTAGTAAGATTAATTTGAAGTTTTTGTACGATTTGGGACGAAAGGGGAAAAGAGCATTAATTGACTGGCATGTAAATGAAGGTTTACTTCGTAGCCATTATAAGTGTCCTGTAGGTAGGAAGGATATGCATCTAGTCGAACGTAAAAAGCGTTTAGATGGATTTCAATGGGTTTGTAGGAAGAAAGGTTTAGATGTGGCGACGTCGATATACAGATTCAAGTTCAGATAATTTTAGGAAATTTTTGGATGCTGTTAAGGATTTTTGTGTGACACAGACTAAAGACGAAGGAACTTCTAAATAGGGCAAGTGGCTATTTGCTTTTTGTAGTGCTTAAATGTATAACGTTTTTCTTTTTTTATCTTATTTTACTGTTTGGTTTAAAATGTAGTTTATTGAAGATTATGTATTGTTTGTTTGCCTCTGCTGTAGAATTGAGTGCTCGTTTGACTTTTAAAGTGAAATATATCGATGTGTACATAGACAAACTCAAGGGAGTGCGTTGCGTAAAGCATAATTTGTGCAATTCTCTGATGTTTTTTTTTTTTTTTTTTTTTTTTTTTTAAGTGCAAATAGGTCGATGTGTACATGGATAAAATCAAGGGAGTGCACAATGCCATTTTTGTGCAATTTGGGGGATTTTTTTTTAAAGTGAAAATATGGTCGATGTGTACATGGATACCAAGTTTGTGCAAGTCTTTGTCTTGTTATTTTGGCTTTGTGTAGTGACGATTTTTGGCGCAAAAATCACCGTTATGCAAGCCAAAATAATAAGTCAAAGAATTGCACAAACTCGGTATCCATGTACCACCAAGTTTCTCCAAGGGGTACCCTAAAATATACTTTTACCCAATAATGTATTAAATTACTATTTTCAGAAACCCAACAGAAATATGGGTTAGAGTAGACTAATGGGTACCTTTTGTACTATCACAAAGTTGTTGTTTCATTTATGGTAACCTGAGTAGTTGAATGTTATGGAAACTCCATTATGACGTAATTCATTGCATGACTGCAATAAATTTTGAATTATGGGGTGTTTTGTAAAGGCTTGCGGTGTGTGTTGGTTAGGCAGTATATTGCTTGTTTTGTTGTTTAGACGCTAGAATGGCTGAATGTAGTAAGACTAATTTGAAGTTTCTGTACGATTTGGAACGAAAAGGGGATAAGGGAATTAATTTACTGCTGTGTAAATGAAGGTATACTTAGTAGCCATTTTTCGGACAGTAGTCTCGAAAAGTCCGGAACTACGGAGAATGTTTTTGACTCTTATTTTTGCGTATTTATGTGGCGACGTTGTATACGTATTCGAGTTCAGATAATTTTAGGAAGTTTTTTGATGCTGTTAAGGAATTTTATGTGCCACAGACTGAAAACAAAGAAATTTCTAAATAAGGTAAGTGGATATTTGCTTTGTGTAGTGCTTAGATGCATAAGAGGTTTTTCCTTTTATATGTTATTTTATTATTTGATTTAAAATGTAGTTCATTGAGATTATTATGTATTTTTTGTTTGCCTCTACTGTAGAACTGGGTGCTCCTTTGACCTTGTTAAGTGAAAATATATTGGATGTGTACATGGACAAAGTCAAGGGAGCGCACAATGCCTATTTTGTGCAATTTTCTGATGTTTTTTAAGTGAAAATAGGTCAATGCGCACATGGATACCGAGTTTGTGCAGTTCTTTGACTTGTTATTTTGTCTTAACAAGGCAAAGAATTGCACAAACTTGGTATCCATGTGCCGCCAAAAATCGCCAATTTTCGCGAAGGGGTACCCGAAAATATACTTTTACCGAAATATGTTCCATTAATGCACAATAACTGATACACTCTGTCTTATCAAATAAATAAATAAATTGGTTACTTTCAAGTCAAGTTTCAAGTTTGGTTGTACATATGAGAGAAATATCTGAATCGTAATAATGTTACTTCAAAATTAACGCGTCAGAGTTTGTTATTTTGTAACATTCTGAAAATAATACTGTTTACGATTCACAAGGAATTACATAAAATGTTTTATACTAATCCTTGAGGACATAAAAATTTCAATTTAATAACTCACGACAATATCGAAATATTTATACAAGTTCAGATAATATGCAATACATAATAAAATAACACGCAAATGATTAATTTTTTTCAAACAGCAGAAACTTTTCGCGTTAATCCTAGTTTACGGTACACACGGGATTTGAAGACATGATGATGAGCAGTACACGCGGTATTTATGATGAGCAGTAAACAACTTATTTTGGTGTTAGCGACAATTTTCAAAATAGCGCAACAATAAACGAAAATCAAAACACTAAAAAAGAAAATGAGCTCAAGTCTATTTAAATCGATAAGCACTAAACGCAAATGGTGTAGGTTCGAAGATCTAAATTATCTACCTAAAACTGGACGGATAATTCAACTTCAATAACTTACATAATCTTTTCACTCAGTAATACCAATAACTCAATATTAAAAAATCTAAAAAATTAACTGTCTTGTCTAAAAATGCGCGGGTAATTTACCTGTCGCGCCAGAACCGAAACTAAATAGCGAAGCGACAGCTAGCTATCAACAATAGCTTTTCACCATGACCCCGAACACGCATAGTGCCACATGTCAGTTAATTTAAGCATTAAGCTCCAGCAGCTCCAGTCGAAAAGCGGGCACTATTACGTAATGAAGCCAATTTCCTAACTCTACGACTTTCAGAGACCATTATATGAAGTCGTTGTCAGAGACCATTTTACGGTAACGGTTCTTCACTTCACTTCTGAAAAAAAAAAATAATAAATACGATGGGCTGCCAAATTATAGGAATAGCTAAGGCTCCTCTGGAATAACGGTAAACAAAAAACGTTCTCGCACTCTATTGGCTGTGACGTCATTGAAATTGTCATAATAACGTGAGACTCCTATAAAGGGGAGCTGACTCAACATCCATTTTGCTGCAACAAATTAAAGAACACAGAAATGAATTATGGGTAGAAAAGATCATGAGTTTCAATGGACCTAATAGTTCTTTCTGGGCGTCTGTCAAAAATTTGAAAAATAAATCGACTGTAACATCCATAACAACTGTTCATGTTGTGGCTCTGACAAACAAGGAAAAAGTCTCAGTATTGGCTAATCATTTTGAAGCACAATTTAAGCCGAACGGTGATCCTTATGATCTTGAATTTGTCTACGATATCCGCTATTGTGTTAACGACAAGATAAATGTAATAACAATAGCAGTAAGATTGAACTCATTCTACTAGGAAGATTTTAGACATCATAAAGAAGCTCAGAAATAAGAAAGCGGCAGGCTTTGATAACTTCACGAACATCACTATTAAGAACCATCCTTTGATTTGAGAAATATGGGTGTATGGGCTGCATCAAATTGCTCCAATCATTCTAAAAATAAATTTAGGATGTTTCGTTTCCTGAAAAATGAAGAAAGACGAAGAAAATGGATAATTAATTCTCGTCGAGATCAACGGATTCCGGGTCCAGGAGTGTGCCTTTGTCAGATGAGTTCAGCTTCGTATTTTTCCATAAAATGTTAGAAAAATTACTCATCGTATTTCTTTAAAATTACTAGATATACTGGGGTACTAAACTCATGTTTAATAAGAAATGCTTATTTTCCAAGACAATCGAAGCATGCCAAAATGATTGTATTACCAAAACCTGGAAAAGATATGCTGGACGTTGCAAAGGCTTTTGACCGCATCTGTCATGAGGGGCGCATCTTCAAAAGTATAAGTTTGAAACTCTCGAGTGACCTCATCCGACTCATCAACACTTTCCTGTAAGGCGGAAAGTTCTATGTCCATTTAGGCAGAGAAGCCACTGAAAATAAAAGAATTAATGCTGGTGTACCCCAGGACTCGCTCTTGGGGCCCATATTGTATCTCTTCTATATAGCAGACCTTCCGAAGACAAGTGTGGACTATAACTACCTTTCAGGCTTTTACGCAGATGACACGGCTCTTGCAGTGAAGTCCGCATGCCCAAATTTAGCCATCAGAAAACTGCAGTCGCTTATGCCGTAGCTTGAATTTCGATGCAAAAAATGGAGAACTTCTGTCAACGCAGATAAATTTTAGTTATTCATTGTTCGAAAGAAGCACTCTCTAACTCCGATCACTACCAAACTCCAGCTCTTTAATAAGGAAGTACCCATCGTTAAGAAGGGTAAATACTTGGGTATCTTACTCAAAGAGAAATTCAGTTGGAAAAACCATGTCAGATATGTAAGGGGAAAGCCTATGGGTGCAATTCAAATTCTTAAACCTCTCTTATACTAACTCAAAAATTGACCACAGAAGAAAACGGCATCTATACATTGCGGTCATCAGACCTATCTTTTCATACGCGTCGCCTGCCTATGCAGCTATAAGAAATTAGGACCTCAAGAAGCTGCAGATTACTCAGAATAAATTATTGCGCATCATGACTCACTTTCTTGTTTCAAATCATACTTTGCATAAGGATTTAAAAATAGAGCCAGTTCTTAAATTCTTGCACAAAATGAGCGAAGTTTTCTTTTCAAAAGCAAGAAATTGTCCCCACATGATCAAGTTAAAAATTTTCGATTATGTTAAGTGAATATTGTGAATTAAAACCACTTGCGGCCCATCTCAAGCATGACTCAGTTTTCCGACGTAGCATATTTCAGCACTGTACCTATGTTTGTGCAGAGTAACTATATTTCTATTATGTACAATTGCATTTTAATTAAATTGTATTTTTATATCCAAATTAGTCTGTTAAGCTATAAAGTTTGACCTTATTTTACTTACTTTATTAAGTTCGACTGTGTCTTTGTCTGTTCGATTGTGTTTCTGTCGTTTCACAGTGGATTTACATGTTACATTAATTCAGCGCTTCTGAGCTTCTCTTTACTGCTCCGTTAAGACTTCTTTTTCCCTTTTTGCCCACTACGACCTTGTGACTTATAGTGACCCCCTTCTCTGCCACCTTAGACCCCCAAATACTAACGGTTCAGACTAATAAATGTCATGCGCCCAAGGGGCTTTAATTCACTGAGCCGTATACGTCGCGCTTCGATCGATATTCCGGCCATACCTGTTCGGTTCAGTCCATTTCGTAGCCAAAGAAACATCCATGTTCTTATTCGTTATCGTTTGATGTTGTGCATTGTTTTTTGACATATTTGTTAATCGATTTGAGAAATATGGGTGTATGGGCTGCATCAAATTGCTCCAATCATTCTAACAATAAATTTAGGATGTTTCGTTTCCTGAAAAATGAAGAAAGACGAAGAAAATGGATAATTAATTCTCGTCGAGATCAACGGATTCCGGGCTCAGGAGTGTGCCTTTGTGAGATGAGTTCAGCTTCGTATTTTTCCATAGAATGTTAGAAAAATTACTCATCGTATTTCTTTAAAATGTGTATTTTCATTTAACTGTCACTTATTGACGACCAACTGATTTTTATAAATACATGTATGTTTTCGGAATGTGTATGTGTTTGTGCAGTAAAATATGTCCAATACTATTTGTGATGTTGTGGTTTTTTTATTATCGCGAATATTTTATACTATTTCTAAAATTGTATCCTACATTTTATGTAAACTTTGTGCTCGGTTAGAAATGTGATGTGCCTTTTTCAATTTTACTGTACGATTGGTAGTTTGAAGTAGCATTTTATGTTTTGATTCTGATGTATTGTCGCCAAATTTGTTAGTTGGCGCCAATGTTTAAAACTGAATACAGTAGACGTTCGTTTTTACGAACCTCTTTTTTACGAACACTCTCGATTTGACGAACTAGCGAATGGTCCCGAATACACTCCCATATATGTAATGTAATTTTGCGCTCTTATTTACGAACTACAAATCAGGAAAATCTCTTTTTTGCGAACTCAGTTTTCATACTTCTGCGTGTTTCATTGGAACGAAGTGTGAAGGTCAAATAAAATCTCCAACTATTTTGAGGCAGCAAGTGCGAAACATTCGAAGAAGTACAGTAAGGAAGGAGGGGGCGGAGAAGAGGGGGAATTAGGACAAATTTATGGTGTTGTTTGTTGTGGGAGGCTCTCAGAAGAGCATCGGCCTGATGTTGTTGGGTGGGGGTGAGACCATTCGTGTTAAAGAGGTTTGGGTTGCTTCTAAAACTGAGTTGTTGCTTTTTGTAATGTCATAGTCATTTCATCTGGACAACTCAATCAGTGAAGTCTCGTTAGTCGAGAGGGAGATTGGGCCAGTTTTTGTTAAGTAAGATTCTTAGAGCTATGTCGCAAATGAAGAAACGAATTTGTTTTAGCGGTTGAAATAAAGAAGAAGATTTTAAAAGAAGTTGACGAAAAAATATTAAGCAAGACACAAATTGCTCAGAAAATATGGAATTCCTAAAAATAGTTTATCGACGATTTTTAAAGGCAAGAGAGAAGATCTTTGGAGCTAAAAACGGAAACGATGAATGTGGACCCTCCTCTCGAAAATATTTTCGAGAATCAAAACACCCAAATTTGGAAAGGGCTTTGCTTGTTTGGTTTCGAAAGATGAGAAGCTTAAACATTCCAATTGATGGAAATGTACTTAAAGAACAAGCACACTTTTTTTGCTTCCAAATTAAACATCAAAGATTTTAAAGCATCGGATGGTTGGTTACAGAAATTTAAATTTCGGAATGGTTTGAGTTTCCGGAAAGTGTGTGGTGAAAGTGCAGCAGTAGACACGTCATCAGCAAATGAATGGAAAGAAGAAAAGTTGAAATTGCTTCTTTCTGAATACGCTGGCAGATGACGTTTTTAATGCGGACGAACGGCTTTGTTTTTTAAGATTTTGCCAGAAAAGAACATTAGCTTATAAAGGAGATAAATGTGTTGGAGGTAATAAAGCTAAAGAGAGACTTACAGTTTTGATTGCAGCCAACATGACTGGGTCACAAAAATTGCCTCTGCTCTTTATTGGAAAATATCTGAAACCAAGGTGTTTCAAAAATGTTCAGAAGATTCCTGCTGCATATTATGCTAATAATGAGGCCTGGATGACTGGCCAAATCTACGAAAAATGGTTAAGAGATTTAGATAACCGTTTTTCAGCAGAGAAGCGCAAAGTTCTCCTAATCGTGGACAATTGTACTGCACACATGGAAGTCACTGGGCTTCAGGCAATCCGTGTGGAATATCTCCCACCAAATGCAACTGCAGTTTTACAGCCAATGGATCAGGGGATAATCAATAGTTTCAAGCGAAAATATAAGACAGTGCTCTTGCAAAGAGTAATCCTTAGCTTGGAAAGGGAACAACCTTATCAGATTGATATTCTTGGTGCAATGCATTTATCAATCAGTGCATGGAATGATGTTTTAGATGAAACAATTTATAAAGCCTTTCGACATGCAGGTTTTATTAAAGAAACAGACGTAACTGAAGAAATCCATGACAATAGATCTCACGACGAAGATGAGGTTCTCATGCATGAACTTCGCCGTAGAAATCCACAGTTGCCAGAACTTTCATTCGAGGATTTTTTAAATGTGGGTTCTAATGTCATCTGCACGGAGGAAATATCGGATTACGATATTATTAGCAGCATAATCAACGAGAATGAGAGACTTTCAGATCCAGAAAAAGAAGAAGAAGAAAATGAAGTAACACCAAGACCGACTTTAAAACAAGCTGCTGAATACTTGTCAGAACTTAGACGATTTTTTGAGGCCAGTGATAATTGTGAAATGCTAACAAATATAGAGAAGATGGAGTCTTGCATTGTACAATCTGTTGTTTTAAAACAGACAAAGATAAGTGATTATTTTGTTGCTCAATGACTTAATAAAGGTACGTTTTACAAATATTTTATATTTCTTGTTTGTTTAATAGAATGGATATCATTTATTAAGTAGTAATACTATTAAAATAATTCCTAATACATAAATAAAAGCATGGAATAGTATCACTAACCTGTCTCGAAAACATTAAAATGTGAAATACTAACAATTTCCGATGCCTTTCTAAATTACGAACTCTCGATTTAACGAACTGTTTTCGTAGTCCCTACGAGTTCGTAAAAACGAGCGTCTACTGTAGTATGATCTAAATTATAAATGGTTTTGGTTTTTCTTTATAGTAAGAGTTTGTATTTTTAGGATTCTGTATAGATATTCTGTATTTTTTAGGCATTTTGAAGAAGTTAAGTATTCATTTAAATATTCCACGAATCATTTTAATCGCATTTATCTAGTAGTAAATTTTCATGTTGCATTTTTAACTATAGTTAGTTTAAATTTATTTTCATTGTGTGAACAGGAAATATGTTTTAAGTAGCTTCATAAACTTAATTACTTTTTCTTAATATCGTTTTATTTTCGTATAAAATTAAAATTTATCAGAAAACTGTATTCTTAAAAGTGTGATTAAATTCATTCAATACGTGTAACTGTAATTAAATACTAGTGTTTTAGATTTTAACGTTAAATTTCATGCATGCTTTTGTTAAACTTGCAGGTACATTTTGAAGAAAATAAATATGCTCATAAATGACGTAGCTCATAAATTTGTCATGGGAAATCTAATGGTCTGCTAAATCAAATTTACTTTTTCGTGACCATAAATGAGGCACTGATAGTAAATCTGCTTTGGCATATTATTAAGAATTTTGAATGAAATATTTATTGCTACTGGAAAAGAATGATCAGCTGATGTTTACCTTACTGATCAATGTCTCATAGTATTGTAATGGCTCGTAGGATGTTTCATAATGTGATGTAGCATATGTTTTAGTCTTCTTTGTTATCAAATATATAAAAAGAGTATATTCCTAATCAGATTTTTTTTTGCAATAGGTGTTTTTGAAGCTGGAAGACGCGAAAAATGAGCAATGCCTTCGTCGGGACTCGAACCTCGACCTCTCAAATAGGCTTCGAATGTGCTGACCATTACAGCACGAAGACATGCTAAGAAGGGGGAGAAATATCTTATATACTCCCCCTTTTAAAAGGCAACTCGGGATTAGGGGACCCAATCGCCAAATCCTGTATATAAGGTATTTCTCCTGCCTTCTTAGCATGGCTTCATGGTGTAATGGTCAGCACAGCCAGCGCGTATCGAGAGGTCTGAGGTTCGAGCCCCGGCGAGAACATTGCTCACCTTTTTTTTACTTCTCCAGCATCGAAATAAACCTAATGTCCCTACAATGTGATACTTGGGATTTGTTTTTAGAGTTCATAACAGTATTTTTTTAGATGCTAATTGAACCAGTCTATTTTAGTTATTTACTTTTTGCTTTAAAAAAGGGTTTTAAATCGAGGTTCTTTTTTCCTTCTTTCAGTATGCTCATAAAATTTACTTAAGCTACATTTTAAACATATTGATATATATGTAAATGAAATAAATCTTAGGTTAGCCCCTTTAATAGGAAAAGAAATAAACTACACTAATATAAACTATATAAACTTGAAAACATTTTATTGAAAATAAGAATACTATCTTAACAGTGTTGGCTAAGATTCATTTAAATAAGAATTCAGTAAAGTAGGAGCATTCTATATAAAGCTCTTGACTTATAACGGAAAAAATGTCAGGTTAGTGCTGTATGTTTTAACCCTCTGACTGCTCAATTTGTGGACTGAAATCGCTTCAAAAATTCTGTATTTTCTCCCCTTCATATTTTAAATCTATATATATTGGAGAATTGAAACATGCACTTTTCTTTTTAGGAAATATTTTTTATATAGATTTTTATCACGAGAAACTAATTTCCCAAGAAAAAAAATTTCAGATGTTATCAGAAAAAAAAAAGTTTTAAATAAATTTCAGTCAAATTACAGTTAATTTCTAGTTATTGCATAATATAAAAAAGTAAAATGTATAAAATTTAAGAAAATATGAAGCACTGAGGAAAAATACCTTAGAAATGCATTTTAGTATGATAGAGCTCAAAACAGGGTTCAAGGCAGAAGTCTAAATTCACAGTCTTTGCAAGAGATTCAATAAATCCCATAATCAATCTAATTATTAAATCTAATTAATAATTTAATTAAATAATCAAGATAATCGCTGAACGTTTTCTAGCAGCCATTTCTGTAAGAAAAATGCTGCAAAAAGTGGAGTTTGAGCGGTAATACCACGTGCTTTCAAATGCCGCAATTTAGTGGACAGCTAACGATATCTGTTGGCCAAAACGTAAACTAAACGTCTAATACTGTATATAATATATTTCAGTGGTTAAACGGGAAAAAAACGAGATTCGCTCCTCAATAAAGGAAGAAAACACGTGCCCGCGGAAACAGCGGGAAAAAATATTGGCTACATTTCAGTTGGCCGTGAAAATCGCGGGATCAGCAGCCGGAGGGTTAATAAAATTTGAATATAATGGAATGAATTGCATTACGTTAGGAATTAGAGTGAATTTCTGTTTCTGCTTTAGTGTTTTGTATATGTTACTAGAGGACTTAGTCTATAGATCTGAAGCTAAATAATAGTTTTATATCTTTACATATGCAAATTAATTAATAAGAACTGTAATTTAAACATTGTCTTTGCAGTGACATAGATTGAATCTTATGTAAACATTCTAAATTCGTTTTATTAGGATTGTGTTTTTTTAGCCAATCAAAATTAAATTTTTTAACGTGGTTTATAATTAAAGTTTCCACTTTAAAAGGAAAACTACCGGACCAAATGTTATCAAACTTGGGAATCGTGTAAAGGAGGTTATGGGAATTTATTTTCTGCGGAAAAAAAAAAGGAGTTCAAAAATTCACCACCAGGGCGAAAATGGCGCTGTATACAATATTGTTAAATGAAATAAGACATGAAAACATCTGTTTAAAATGTGTTTAATAGTTTCCGAAACGTGTTACAAAGTATGCTCAATGTAGCGTCCAGCATTTTCCGAAAGCAAGTTAAATCCTGTTACTGCATTCTCAACAGCAGCTCTTAGCATATCAGGAGGAATGTTACGGACATGTCAGTGTATCCCATTTTTCATTTCTGCCCAAATTGTTTAGATTATCACCATAAACAGTGCTTTTGAAATAACCCATAGGTAAAAGTCACAGAGGTTGAGGTCTGGTGGGAAGAGGGGAAGTGTCGGCCTATAAGACGTTCATTCGTGAAATGTTGCCTAAGTAACTGTGCGACACACGTGAGGTGGGGGCCCAGCCCTGCATATCTAAAATGCCACGTTACTGCAGTTCATGTATCACGAAACATTTTAACATTGACTCTAAGTGAGCTGCAATCACAGTGGTCCAGCTGTCGACTGCTCTTCAGAGAAAAATGGTTCAGTTATATAAAACTAGCTGTCATTCAACACTAAACGGTGTGGAATGACTGCTATACAATCGAATGCAGTAGGAGAATGCAATGGAACTAGATAGATAACATGAGAGATTTCTTTGGCCCAAATCGATTAAAAGCGTTTTGAATCAGTATCTTCATGTTTTAGTGCCGAATTCAGGCTTCAAAAATTACAAATTAGCGATCTGTAAGAAAACGATTTCCAGATTGTACGCACTTGTGCGAGTGATTTGCGATCTCACATTTTCTAATCGCTAATTTATGGTTGTCACGGACGAATTTCTCACTTACACGGATGGCGCACTCGACTTTTATCGAATTTAACGCTTTTAAATGGTAATTTGCCTACTTCAAAGTTTCTTAAGGGTATACAACATATTAAACCCGTGTAACAAAAGGTTAAGTTAGATTCCGACCCATATTTCGTTTAACAATATTGCATACAGCGCCATTTCCCCCCTGGTGGTGAGGTTTCGAACTTCCTTTTTTTCGCGGAAAATAAATTCCCATGACCTCCTTTACACGATTACCAAGTTTGATAACATTTGATCCAGTAGTTTTCCTTTTATGACCGTTTCAATGTGGAACTTTAATTATAACCACTCTGTATATTATTAAATTTTAATTTGAAGCTATGCGTTATATGTATACCATGCGTAAAATTTTCGCTTTTATGGAAAAATAAAAGAATCGAAGCAAATATACTTAGGATAATGGACCAAAACTGAAAAAAATTTCCCCTCCCTCCGAAAATAAAATATTGAAATTTCGACCTTGAATTTATTGGGTTATCGAAATATTTAATTTGACTTATCTTCTAAGTCCTAGTTCCGACAACAATTCCGTCAAAAATTCCGAATTACTTAAGCTGAAAGTAAAAGATTTAGTATATATTCACTGTATGTTAATAAAGTAATCAGAGTGTAATAAAAATAGATTATAGAATTTACGCTGATGCAACTTTTTGTCTGACTGCACAACATGTAATGGAAGAGAAGGCTTGTAGAGATCTGTTTTTGACATGCCTCTAAAAGTAGATGTCATATACTCCTTTTGTCTCTTCAATGTCAAAAAAACTTTCCTTTGAGAGGCAACTTTAGTTTTTGGGAAAGAAAAAAAATCACAAGAAGAAAATTTGAAGAACATGCAGGACGATTGAGTACACATACTTATTTTCGGAACACAAGCGGTTCTCCGACTGGTTATTGAATAATGAAAAGATGCATTGTCATGCAATACAAAACATTTGGAATACGTTTTCTCACGGAAAAACGTAAGATTAAAAGTCATCTGCTTAATTCACAGCCATTTACAAGTCAACTACTCGGGCAATTGCAGAATCGTTTTGATCCTGAGCTTGTAAGCTTGTAAGACAAACCTAATATCGCTGGATTTAAACACTTCTTTAATCTTCCGAGAACGTTCCTTCTTTAGCTCATATTCCAAGAATATTAAGTGAATACAATTATTGCAAAAGAAATTGAATATTCATTTGCACTACGGCTTGGTAGTTTACTAACGAGTTAAC